AAAATCTTATGAAAAAATGCGGGATTTCTAACAATAATGACAATAAATAGCAAATATAAGTGGATAAGACGAATTTTGCCACAGTAGCGCAATTTGTTTATATATTATATTTTACTTTTAGATAGGAATAGGCGACTTTTACTGCAGTTTGGGATTATGTTTATCTAGATTTCAGGGCCTACCATAAGTATATGTCATTAGGCCATTTAAAAAAAATGGATAAGGCGGGTTTTGCAACTTGACGCCTCACTTCTAGACTTCATCGATATTTTCATAGTCGAAAATTTACAATTTTATTATGTATCTTTAAAAATTTTAAATTCTCGTAAAAAGAATTTTCGTTTACTTCGAAATAATAATAAATTATAAATATAAAAACATTTCCAATGAAAACAATTCATTTTCAATTTGTATAAGTACGTTAATATTATTGTTATGCTAAATAGCTACGAGTAATGTTGACTTGTCTGTCTTAGTATAACGTAGGACAGCAGGTTAATATTTCGAGAATATTTTATAGGGACAGCCTTTAGTTGGACCTGTCACCTGTCAAGAATGGATTAGTCTACATCCAAGTTGGCTCAATCGAGTAAAAATTAAGTGTCCTATCGACGCATGGAAGAAATGTCATATTCGACAGCGAGGGCTTATTTTCTAAGACAACCGTGCAGAAAAACGATGATCGATTCTACTTCTTCACGAGTGATCCTTCTACTCTGAGCGATTCACATGAAATTACTACCAAAATATTCTATTATTTTGAGAGGAAATTCCGTCGGGACCCACAGTTGTTAAAGTCTCGGTTGAAGTAATAAAATGACAATAGATAAAAATACACCCTACAATCGTCCCAATATATAGCATCTATTTCTATATGGATGATTTATTGCTGTTCCGTTTAAGACCTAATTTACCTATGTTTCTAAAAACGTTTGTCTCTGGAAAATTATACAGCAATCCTCCTGCTGCCGAACAGTTCATTATTCAAAAGCTTCCGGAAAGTCAAGGAGCCTATTTCACCTTATTAAATTAGCAGTTATCCCAAAATATCCGCAGACAAACAACTTTGCGAGAGCTTGTTTTCTAAAACAACCGAGCAAAAAGACAATGATACCAAAAAGAGAAAAGATTCCATTCTTTTGACAAGAAATTGATTCGTGATCCGAAGTTAACCGTAATAATATGGCAATAGATTATTCCAAAAAATACCTACAATTGTCTTAGTTTGTAGCATCTTTTTCTATATGGATGATTTATTGCTGTTCTGTTTGAGACTTACATTTTCTGTGTCAAGAAATTGTTCTGGGATGTCTCTGGAAAATTATACAGCAACTCTTCTGTAGCGGAATCCACCTGCAACTTTTGTACAAGTACGAAACGAACTTCATTTTTTATTAAAAAACTTTTGAGAAGTCGCGGAGACTATTTCACCTTGATTAAATTATTATCATATACTTATATTATCACATACTTATATAATATATTATTATATCATATACTTATCCGCAAATAAATAACTTTGCGAGAGCCCATTTTCCAAACCAAATAAGCAAAAAGGCAATGATAGATTCATTGTCCATATTCCTTTACAATGTGATCCATCATTCTAGACGATTCATTTCAAATGTTGGAATTCAGAAAGCAGAACTTTAATAATCTGAATGTTTACAAGTTCAAAAATAAGCTTTTAACAATGCCAAAATGTAATATCCCTCTTTCTACTATTTTAAGAATCGTGAGACCAACGAACCGAAATACTAGGTATTGGTCTTGTGAAGACGATTAGCTAATGTATATTATTGCTTGATATGGCCCAGATTTTAGATCCATTAAGACATTTTAGTCAATATATTAATTTTAGGCAAGATTATTTCCTCCTTCAATCACTTTGTCATTAAAGCTTGAAGGGGTCGAGATTCTTCCAGCACCCATCACCACACATTTGTTGTTATCTGCCAATAGCAAAATTGAAGTAAAACTCTTGATAGTTAAAAGCAGGGTTAATCCTTTATAATCGCTAACCACTCCAAAATTAGAACTGTGTGCTGGGCTCTTGTTAGCTCAACTTTTTGATCAAGTGAAAGGTTCAATGACTCTTAGTTTCCCTGATATATTTTTTTGCGTGCCATTCCGCTATATCTCATATATGGATTCGTGCTTATTCAAGTACATTACAAGTTTTTGTTCAAAATAGAGTCACTCGGATTCAAAGTTTAACACAACATATTCAATTGTATAACTTTCAAAATACTGCGAATTCTTATCAAGAATACAGCTACTAATCTCTCCCTATTCGCCTTCGCCAAACCTCTCTATCCAGTGCATCAAGTTCTTCTAGCTCTTTGGATGTCATCGCTTGTCTGATATTGGCATTCCACGACCTTGCTGGTCTATCTCGCCTTCTTCTTTGTGAAGAACTCCACTGAAACAGTCGTTTTGGTCATCAATGTTCAGGCATTCTTAATAGATATCCAAACCATTTCAGACCTCTGATCTCTATTCTATCTATAACTAACTCTGGGGCGTTCATTTTGTGTCTAATTTATCTGTTGGTAGTCCGGTCCAGTTCCAATATGCCTGCTTTTGAGATAGTCCATTTCGACTGCTGTAAGTCTCCGATTCATTTCTGCTGTTAGAGCCCAAATTTTACAACCGTAGCATATCACAAACCCAACCAAAATTTGTCCTAGCCGTTTCTTGGTTCTAAGAGATAGATGTCGATTCTACCACAATGAATTCAGACATCCTACCATCATCCTACCATTTTGCTACCATCATCCTACCATTTTGCCAGCTTGAATGCGGAGTTTGATTTAGTGATTTAGTCCTCTCCAGTACCCTGGTTAGTTACGGTTGACCCTAAATATTTAAAGTTGTGGATGTATACTGGGTGCCGTACCGCCGGCACATGAACGCATTAAACAAATTGCAACAGAGACACGTTAGACTACTGTTAAGAATCAAATGGTACCACCATGTCTCAAACGTATCGGTCCTTGAAAAAGAAAGCTGCGAGAGCGCTGAAGTCATGATTATTAAATCACGCTTAAGATGGGCTGGATGCAAGAAAGCCGCCTGACAAAATATCTTCTTTACGGCGAGCTTGTAGACGGCAAGAGGAAACCGGGTGGATTACTCAAAAGATGCAAGAATTCCACGAAAACTTGAAGGGGAAGCATGCAGAATCAGTGGAAGGAAGCAGCGCAAAATAGAACGCACTGGAGAAGAAGTGTAAACTCTGTTAACAATGACAACCAAAAAGTAAAAAGGCAACAAAGTAATTAGATTTTTGAATGTCTGGAGTGCGGAAGAGAGAAACATCGCGTATCGGGCTTTTCAGTCACAGAAAAGAAATGAAAGAAAACGGTCATGAAAGAAAACGCCCCGCGTAACCATCTTCTGACGCATGTCAAATACTCGGCAGTGTGTAATGGCAAATGAGATGAGATGAAAGTTGTGGACCTGTGTGACCTGAGTGTCATCCATAACAACAACTTCAAAGGCCGCTTCACTACTGACTGCGAGATATTCAGTTTTCAGTGAAACTTATCCTGCGCAAGCACTACTTGGTCGCCAGCAAAATTTGCAATATACAGCGTTTCTACCAACAATTTTTCTAGAGTAATAACTCAATATACGTAGGTATGTTTTTCTTTTAGTTACGAATTTCAATTTTAAAATGCATTGATTTTTTTCCTATTCTACAACTTTTTAGTAAATATATGTTATGGGACTAACACAATAAATCCAATTCTACATCCTACGATGGGAGGAATGTCGCATCTAGTAATCTTCAGGGTATACCTGCAAATCCGGCCTATTGTGGTTGATTTACGAAAAACAACCCTCAATCAAATATTTTTTTTTAAATTAGATATTGACTGGTGGCTTAGACGGTATGCGTCTTCCATTGAATGCTTTATACAGGGGATCCAATGGGACCTATATAATTCTCTCAGTCTTCCTCAGTTCGCTCAGATGGTGATCATTCTAAAAATTGGCTTTAACAATCGACTTTAACAAATGACTATCGAAGGTTATATTCTTCTAAAGAGTTCCGTCCATTGTCTTCTTTTGATGACGTCACGAGTACACTGTCAGGCCTTCATTCTCAATCCTAACTACTGGTAATGTTTTTATTTATAATATATCAGACTAAGCAGTGTATAATCACTGAATAGATTTTGCACACTTGTCCTTTAATAACTTATGAATTATAACATATACCTAATGAAAGAAAACGACATAATGGTACAAAAACCACACTACGTCTATCGCCAAAAAACAGTATAAAATATAGATAGTTTCTAAAATATAGAAAAATATAATTTTGTGTTTTGGAAACTTTGTATTATCATACATTAATCAACACATATAATAATACTGTGGTACAGGTACTCTTAGATTAAATGTATACATACATACAGAGCAATCAAAAGGTTTTAGCTCGGATCTTAGGATCGTTGAATTTGAGTTTTTGGAGTGTAAAAAATACCTACAATAATATGCTTTACCCATAAGACTTTTCTCTTAATATACAAAGCAGCATCTAACAGACCTTTTAGATCACATTATATTTAAGAACATGTCGCAGTGGCGTAACTTGACAACTGGGGGCCTCGGTGCAAGATATTTTTGGGGGCCCCTGAGTAAAGAACAAAACCAAAATAATGTATACTTTTTGTTAATTTTTTTTAAGGGCTCTGAGGGGCCCCAAATTCCTGTGGGGCCCCAGTGCTTTGCACCGAACTGCCCTATGATAGTTACACCACTGACATGTAATTTTCAACCAATATGAATCAAAATTGTTCAACTGAAAAACCACTAAAATAAAGTTGTCATTAGATGTCATTAAATGTTAAATGTTAGAGATGTCACAGTTTAACAGAAAAAATTCTGATATAATTATTTATCGTCTATATCCTCTTTATAATGAAACTTTTTGATAGCACTGTATGTAATATAATAACAAATAGAATGTACCTAGATAAGGTACTCACTCTTAATTATAGTTGAGTCCAAAACCAATAAATAATCCTCATCAATGCGTAACTGGTCCCAGTACTGTTACACTATTTTACACAAGTCTCCCGCTCTTTAAGTTTCACTACCCCAAAAATAGAAACACTAAAATAACTTCTTTAATGGAAATCCAGAACTTTTCCAATAAAAAAACGTCACTACAATAAATAAAACAAAACAAATCAGCACACAGAACACTCGGGGCCAGACAGTTGTTACGTCTATGTTCACAGTTAACTAATTATCCATTCCAACTTTGATTCTTTCTGTTTGGATTCGTCCTCAAAATTCACACCGATTACACGACGACAAAGTAGACGTGCCGAACCGATCACAGACAGCCACGAATCGAACCGACAGACGAATTCCTACTGAATCTTACGTAACAAAGGTTCGTCGCTTCACTCGATTCTCCACTATTCGGATCTCTCTCTGTCACGTACGATTCGATGGCTTTGTCCTTTTCCGGCGCGCGTCGGGAGCGGCAGCAGCATTTCTCGTGTCTGGAAGCGAAGCGCGGCTATGGCCGTGGCGGCGGTAGCGGTGAGGCGGCGGCGGTTGGCGGGGTCCGACGTCGTCGGCGACGATCGGCGGCGCGTCTAGGTTGGCGACCGGCGATCGGTGGACGTCTGCGTTGTTGCCAAGGCCTACAAAAATAAAAAAATATTTTAGGAAATTTATTTTCGAAGTGCAACGCAAAATTTCGATTTTAATATTTGAAGATATTCATTCCTATTAATGTTGCAAAACTCTCTGATTTGGGTATGGTTAATAGAAATAAGGGGTGAAGTTTTTTTTTCCTTGAAATCACTTATAAAAATATCAACAAAACATCCAGTATATAGAAGCCTCCCCAAACACTAAATCATAAAAATTTCTCTGCGGAAATGCATCATTCCTTTTTTTCCGACTTTAGAATAACTGAAATCAGTTACATGACAACGTATTCCTGCTTTACATTCTAAATACTTTTCTTGTGTAGGCAGTGGCGGATACAGGATTTTTTTAGGGGGGGTGGCAAATAAAAAGTAATGTAGAATATGCTTTTTAGAGTGCCATTTTTAACCCAAAAGGCTAATATTTAAACCAATATATATATTTTAGGGGGGGGCGGTCCCCGTGGCCCCCTCTCTGTATCCGCCAGGTGTGTAGGTATGAACTTAACCTAGTAGATACTGTAATTTAGACATCAATACCGTACTGAGAAAAAACGAAAATAAACAAAAATGAACCAACAAATCTAACCAAAGTAATCAAAACATGCTGTAGAGTACTTTTCAAATCTTGCTATATTTTAGAATATTTTATCAATAAATCACAGTGTACCATTTTCATTTTTTTGCGTGTCTATATTTAAAGAAAATTCTAGAATGAAAAACAGAAACGTGTTTTCATGTAACTGGTTTCAGCTATTCTAAAGTTAAAAAACTGAAAATTATGCATTTCCGCAGAAAAAAATTTGTGACATACTATTCAAAAAGGCTTCCAAATACTAAATAAACAAATATTTCTTACATAACTGATTTAAAGTAAACAAAACTTGAGCCGAAATAAAAAACTTAGTAAAACGCTAGTTCAGTACAATACAACATAACACCAAGTTAGCATCATCAACGTGATAAGCAAATATCAATCAAATAATTTGCTAAGATGCTAACTTAAGTGCTCCGAAACGACAACCACTCTTGCTATAAACTTTGATACGACTGGACTTTATCGGAGATGGAGAACTACCCTCTGCATAACCGTCTCAGATAGTTTTATCAAAGCCCTGAGACTGTATAATGAGTTATAACTCAAGAAAAGGGGACGCCATAGATCTGTAAGATCACGGTGATTGACCCCCCGCCCCACCCACTCATTCTAAATTCTACAAGATACTAACTTGGTTTTGCAAAAAGTGTATTATGGATAGATAGATAAATAGATAATTTTTTATTTAATCCATGTAGATAATACAATAGCTCTAAAGCATGGAACCGAGCTTGGAAAAATGTCTTGCCTTCGTTCTTTGCCATTTGTCTAACAGTGATGGGAAAGCAATTAGGTATTTTTACAATAGAAGTTTGAACAGTTTCAGATCTTGAGGAATAATGTTAAGATTCTAACCTCAAATTTATTTCAAGATTCTTGGTACTAGTACTTATCACAAAATCATGGAATCTATCTATCTCAGGGATTCTATTAAATTATATTGTTAATCTATTAAATATTGCTAACTAACAAAACCAGTAAAGAACGCTGTATTATTGATCACAAACACAGGTGTAAGAATCATAAATATATATGCCTGCATTTTCCATAAAGGTTTCGTCATTTTTATATTTGACTGTATTCTATTACCAAAAGCTACATATTGCGCGTTTTTTATGCATTTATGAATAAATCTAGTAATATTCTACTACTTATGGTTAATTGGGGTAATGGTAAACGATTTCAACAAACATAATTTTAATAAAGTATCTATAACTTTGAAATTTTGATGTTTGCACTGAAAATTCTATAAAAGTATATTTTAAGACACTTAGACACGCTAGAAATTTGCAATAGATTCTAAAAAAATCTCGTTTACATTTTCCCCATAGAAAAATCAAATATTGTCATATTTTGAGGTAAATGTAAACATTTTATTTATTGTGCTATAAGAGGTAAGAGGTTTTAAATGGGGATAATAATGAACAAAGAACTAAACAAGTTACCAAAAATTACCAAAATAGAGCATTTCTATTTTGCAAAATTCACGACTAAAAGTCTGGATTCTGAATGGCGTTTCCAAGATGGGGGAGGGGGGCAAGTAGATACAGCAGCATGATTTAAATCAAAAAAGACTTAAGTTTTCTGTGAGCTTGAAGCTCTGCATACACTGTATAATTTTATACACAAAATGATCGGCATTTCTCAATTTTAGAAATTCTTTGTTCTTTTTTGAATTGTTTAGGATCGCAACTATATCACGAAATGACTTTAAAAGAAAACCTAATGTTTTAATAGTTATATTATGATACTTCAAAGTAAGTTTAAAAACAGCAAATCAAAAAGGGCTTTATCTTTAACATAAACATATATGAGATCATAAAAACATTTCAATCACACTGTATATTACATTTTGTTTTTATAATTAAGACACGACATTTGAAAAATCACTTTGAGGATCAATGCAGTTTTTTAAGCGGGCTTTGTGATGATGACAAATAAACAAATCATATAGGATATTATATTATTCTATTTTTTAACTGTCAAAGCATGCTAGATCGTAAAACTTTTTGATCATAAGTAGTTTTATATACCAACATATTAGATATCTACAAACAAGAGACAATCGAAATGTTTCAGACAGTCTAGTACATAATAATTAATTTTTTTATTGTATTTAGCCGACTTTTTTAAAATCTATATACATGTAGTTTCCAAAAATTATATCTTAACAAGATAAAAGATAGACAATAGATATTTTTGTAACTTAATAGCTTTAATTCAAAGTCAATTTTTATGTATATAGCCCCAAATTCCCAAAACATTGCTACAAAAATACCTCACCTTAAAAGCAATCTTTATAAATTCCTCTACTGAAAATCTGGCAACACTGTGTCTCGACCTCAGACTGTTGCTCTCCGCATGCGCTCCCAGCGAAATATTCGCAGAGATCTTCACCGAAATTTTATCAAAAACACGCAAAATACGACACGAATTGTTCTAACAACGTATGAAACAATCAGGATACGTAGATAACAAACTATATTAACGATTAAAGTACGAAATTAAACTCGAAAAACACTCACAAAACAGGAAAAACCGCGCAGAATCCGAGATTCAGCAGCCACCAGCTACGCGGCCATGACGATCGCATCGCGGATGAGTTCATGAGTTGATTGTTGGTTAGAAAGTCAAATTGCATTGTTGTCACGTTGATTTACAGATATTTCCTGATATTTTTTAATTACCATCGTAATAACCCACATACCTAATAACTTAATAATATGGAAAAATATTGGATGAAGACCTTGACTGACCTTGTGACTGTAACTTATGAACTCCACACTAGACGCAAATGCTAACATTGTTGACTCATTTGTAAATTTTTGTGTTATGTAGACTCAAATATTTTTACCTAATAATTCACACTAATTAAATTGAAAGGTATCATACAGCATACCCATTGACGAAAAAAGTGTTTTATAGTTTTTGAAATACCTACATGATAATAATACGAGTAGATGTAGATGATAATACATGAAATAGACGAACAAGATTTTTAAATACAAAGATTTCTAGTAATGATACTGTAACTACATTCAAGCTTTTTGATACAGTCATTATTATATTGCAAGAGTAAACGATCACTTAAACACAATTGGATTAATCAAATTAAATATGTACTTGCTATTGGATGTTCTATAGTTACGGGGTATCCGTGAGAGGGGAAACGATATTCCCTCTATGTTTTTCGTAAAAAATGAGACGACGCGTCTCATCAATAAAAATTCGACAAATTTGCAAGTAGTCAATAAAATAAGTGGGCGGAGCGATTTGCGGTGACGTACTCGTCAAGTCGACGTATAAAATATATTGTTGTTTATTTAACTGTTTTTTGTCCGCATTCCTTTCATAGACACAGATCCAGCAGACGTACTGTACATACGCAACTCAAAATTTAAAAAATGTTGGTGTATCACCACAATGTTTTAAAAAATTGTAAATCTGTGTCTTTCGCAACTCCCACTCGTTTGTACATAAAAGAAGTCGAAGAAATATTATTGTATGTGTTTGTGGAAGCGATAAACATGTTTAACTATTTTACGTTTACTTATTGTTAGCTCATGTTTACATTTACATTTTTTACCCGTACCTACCATAAGTTATCAGCATTAGTAAATTGCTAAAACTTGTAACAGGAGCAATTTGGAGGGTCAATAGTTTAAGTTTTTCGTGTATTCTTTCTCTCTTTCTCTCTCTCTCTCTCTCTCTCTCGTGTAACTCTTTGCTGTGATGGCTAGAAAATTATACAAATGATTTGCTGAGCCAAACCAAACTTAAATATATGAGTAGGTAGATCTTACCTAGCACCAAGTTAATTTATACAAAATATAATAATTAATAAAATGTATATAAAATTTTAAACCACAGGCTGGCGTCATTCGCAAAAGTTAATATTAAATGCCTAAATAAATTTACTTAAATCCGTAGAGAATGTTTATTCGCATACCATATTTATTTATTAAAATGGGTAGCGGCGACATCCACAAGACATGTGGTTGAACGCATTGAATGTTGATAAGGTTCGCACTACATTTACAATAAAATAACACAATACAATACAAGTAAATAATCAATTATATAATGTATTTTGTTTCAAACTGGTGATGCAAACATGGTTAGGAAAATATTAAACGTCTTGCCGCTATCTGTAACTAACTCTCCAGTCGACACGAAATTGCACAAGTGTGATTGATTGCTTTGATTTCAAGCTTCTTTCTGCGATTCTATGGTTTTCTTTAATTTTAATACGAATTCGATTGCTTTGAATGTCTTGATTTTAAAATTGAATGTCTCCCAAATTTTCAGTCATCTAACAACACATACACTAAACGTAACGTCTACCCTGCACCAAAATACTTTTTATTTCAATATTTGCACATTTTATGAATAAAAATAAAATATATGTATGATTCTAAAGTATCACTATTATTATTTTATTCTTATCGTATATTTTTTAATATAATCTGAGTAAATATTTTATCTATCTTGGTATTATTTGGTTTGGTTTAGGAGTCCAAAAGTAAAGAAGGTCGGAAGAAAATAACAGATCTCCAGATAAAAAGAATAAAAAAAGCCGTAGCCAAATATATACAATAAAAAAATTGTCATACATATCATAATAATAGCAGATAAACAATCAATCAAAAAATAAGATTTTTAATATATTTTTCGGAGAATTATCGACAATTGGCAACAAGGCAGTCTGCGCCACCGTTGCTTTGCAGACACCAGCCGTATCACGTGACCGACCTTCCCGTCAAAATAGGCGACGGAACGGTCGTGGGCGCCAGATGGACAAAGGAGTAAGGGGAGCAGGATAGAGTTTGCCGCGTTGCCAGGTGCAGTATTTTTACCTTGTTGTTAATACTAGTTTAAAAAAAATGATATTAGTTTGCTTAACAAACCACAATTTGAAAAACAAATATCGTGTTTTTTACAAGGTGCAAATAACGTATGTATTTTTTTTTAATTTAAAATTACATTCAGACAAAATTCTACCTGTATAAAAAAAGAAATATAAACTAAAAAACGCCTTATAATCTAATATAACATTTTCAAAATAATAAATAATATTTTCTTAAGCCGAGTGTTTCACTGTTCATGAGTATAAATATATACAAAGATATTGACGTTCTGCTTAATCTAAATAACAACAATTAGAAAGACTATATAAAGTGTATAATCATTTTAGATTGGATTTAAGGGATCCCGGGATTTAATATCGGGATTTCGGCGGTAAACGCATTTACCGCGATTCGGGGATCTCGAGGTACCGGTTTGGAAACCCTAGTAATATCTAAGCGAAATATTCGATAAATGTAAACTTTTTTCGTTCAATCTGTTTTCAACCTACGCCGAAGCGATTCAGATTGTTCAACTCAAATCGACCCGTGAACACGCGGCTTTAGGGAGGATTTTCACCCCTTAGATAACGGCAACATTGCACTAGTCTATACACAAAGACCTTTAATAGTGGCACGTGCGGTGACACTATAGAGAAAATTAAATAACACTTTTTAAAGATGGGTCGACTTGTAGGGCCCGATGGTTTGAACCGCGTTAGGTATTGTTTGGCTTTTATTCTTTTTATCCTATATCTACAGGGTGAGAATTTGAAAAATAGCAATAGGGAATATCTCTTTCCGTAGACAAAAAATATTATAAGGAAGATGTCATATAATATACCGGGAGATTGGAGAAAGAAGATTTTAGTTCTCCTTCTCCTGATGTGTTTTCAGGCCTTTATGACATAATATTTTGTCTAGTAGAAAGTTAATATTTTTCCACAACTTTTGAGCAGATATTAGGAAAAACGGAAAAACACTCGCACTATATATATTCTTTCTAGCACGGTAAGTAGTAGTATTTTAGTCACTAGAAGAAGAAATATCACAATCTTAGTAAAGTAACTATTTTTATAACTTCCTGTGCCTTCTTTTTAAGATAACAGTGTACCAGTACATAAGTAACCAATCAAAAATACCGCATGATCGAAAAAGAAACGGCGTCTAATTGGCTTGAAAATGAGGATCGATGCCATTCCTCATATACTTTTATATGTAAAATTAAAATTACAGGGATGTTATTCATTTTATAGCCATCGCTGAAATTTCGCGAAAAAAAAATTGGGTGTGGACTATGTGCGCATATTTTAAGTCAATCTTCTTACTTTTGTCTGTCTGTCTGTCCGTCTGAGGACTCCATTCGAGTACCTCTATCTGCGTGCCGAGTTTCGTTCCAATCGACCCATTAAGAAAAATTTTGATAATTTTGTCCATTTAGAGGAAAACAAAAACAAAACAACGCTTTATTGTGCAAAGAGCCAAAACAGCTTCATCGACAAAGCAATCACAAAACAAACAAAAGCACAAAAAAAATATATATACAAACAGCAAAAAATACACATATAACTAAAATATCTTAACATATATCTTCTTTTTAATCTCTATAGAACTCTCATACCAAATTTTGGTATTCCAACTTCAGAAACAATGGTACAACTGACAATTTTTTACCACATTGCAATTTAACATTTGTATAAACAAATTTAAATATTGCAAAAATCTAAAAATAAAATAAAAAATAGGGTGTTGCATTTAAAAAAACATATGTTATATCCGCCACACATTTTTGAAGGACCCTGTATACTCTATAATAATTTTAAAATGTGTATCTTAACCTTCCCTATAACTTTTGTATTTAACATTTTTTTGTAAACCTCGAAACAAATGAGATAATGGACTTTACTCTATCGTTGACTCACCCTGTACAGTATTGTGCCTTTAACTAGTTCTGAGCTCGGGGTTGGCAGATAAAGATCGTGCTCCGCATTCCTAAGTGGATAGTTATGTGATGGCCTTTTGGGAATAGCAGATATGTGCTTGCGGATTAAGCAAATGGATTCAAAAATGAATAAAGAAGGAAGAGTCAGTATTTTGAAATTTTTAAAGAAATTCTGGCAGTGAGTTCTACTGTTCAGTCCCAATAAATATCGAACTGCTCTCTTTTGAAGTCTGAAAATACGATCAAATTTTGTTGCGCAGCAAATACCCCAGAATGGAAGGGCATAACGAAGATGTGACTCAAAAAGGGCATAATGGGATATTCTAGAGGTTGATAAGTTAAGCTCCTTAGAAACTGATTGTAGCGCAAAGGCAGCGCTTAGTTTCTTTGATAGAGCTTCGATGTGAAAGTCCCATTTTAACGAGTTGTCTACAACAAGTCCTAAGAATTTCACAGAGTCCACGACGTCAATAGTGAATAGTGGTGTTATTAAGTACAAAAGAGTTTATTTTTTTTTCTTTTTCTTAAACCTTTAGAATTATATCCATATATATATATATATATATATATATATATATATATTTTTCCTTTCTTGGGTATGAGGTTTTTTTTGTTAATTGAAAATGGAAACTTTTTTTTATTATGCGACGTTTTGCCTCATCATGGTGGGCTTTCTCAGGCACTTTATTCTTGAAGCCGCAGCCACCTTGCTACCACCAGTCTATATAGAAGAATGTTTTCATTCAAAAAAGTTTCCATTTTCAATTAATAAAAAAAACCTCATACCCAAGAAAGGAAA